AAGACCCAAACCTGACTCTGCTTAACTTTTGAGATCAGACAAAATGGTGGTGGGTAAAACACACTCTGTGTGTATGCCAACATGCTGATCCCCATCATAATCAGCAGGCAGGTCCCAAGGGTACCCAAAGGCCATTCAAAACCTTCAGAACTCTCAAGCGATGCTGCTGTACTTGTCACTGGGGCTGGTGTAGCTGCTGTGCTTGCCGGCTCTCCCACCACCAGCTTCTCTTTTCCCGAGTCCAGCTCTTCCTCCTCCGCCTTGCTGGGAAATGCTGCGGGGTCTCCTGCGTCCTCCTGGGGCTCGGCGGGCGGCTTCCGGGGAATGCTCTCGGCCGTCGCGGGGCTGCGCTCGGCCGCGGGGCTGCACTCAGCCGCGGGGCTCGGCTCCTCCGCCGCCTCCTCCCGCTCCTCGGCCTCCCCGACCTCCTCCACCGGCAGCCGTCCCCTTGCGGCCTCCGATCCCGCTCCCGCTTGGTCCCCGGGGCCCCTCTCCCGGGCCACTTCAGCAGCCTCCGGCTCCCGGGGCCGCGCCCCCTCGGCTCCCCGCGGCCTCAGGCAGACGGAGGCGAGGGCGAGGGCCAGGACGGTGAGGAGCAGCCGGACGGCCAGGGACCAGTCCACGGCCACGTCCGTCCCTCCCTGCTGCTGGAGCCCGCCCGTATTACAAGTCACTGCCATAAAGTACAGTGAGACAGGAACCTTAGCCCAAGCCCCACACTTGATAAACACTAACACAGCAAATACCGGCTCTAAGTAAGTTACAACATTCTGAAGCTGTGAGATCAAGAGGAACAACTCTGAGAGCCAATAAATCAGCATTGTGACGAGTGACTATTAATCCAGTCAGATCTGTCGTTATCTCAACCCCTCGTGCCCCACGTTGGGCGCCAAAAAGAACTGTCGTGGTTTAACCCCACCCAGACAGCTTGTTACCCACTCCCCCCCCTTTCTTGCCCTCCCCCTACTCCTGGAGGGACGGAGAGGAGAATCAGAAAGAATGCAACTCCCACGGGTTGAGATAAGAACAGTTTAGTAACTAAGGTATAACACAAATCACTACTGCTGCCACCAATAATAGTAATGATAAAGGAAATAACAAGGGAAGAGAATACAACAACCCATCACCAGGCGACCGATAATTCGCCCCCCCAGCCTGATCAAGCACCGACCAATACCTCCTCCAATCCTGCAGTCCACTCTCACCCTTCTGGCTAACTCCCAGTTCCCCCCTGGGCATGACGTGCTGTGGTATGGAATACCTCTTTGGTCAGTTTGGGTCAGGTGTCCTGTCTCTGCTTCCTCCCGGCCTCCCCTCCTCTCTGGCAGAGCATGAGGCTCACAAAGTCCTTGGCCAAACCAAAACATCATTTTTATCAGCTTTGTTCCCAGCTGAAAGTCAAAAACACAGCACTGCACCAGCTACCAAGAAAGAGAAAAATGACTGCCACTGCTAAACCCAGGACACCCTTTTTGAACAATATAGTGCTCATGTAAAATGCTTTTTATCAGGGTCTATATCCATAAGCCCAACACAGCGAAGGAAAAAAAGGTATCATTTTAATCACTTGTGTGAGTTGTCAGCTGAATTATTTACGCATATTGTTATCAGGCAAGCTGGGTAAACTCATTCACAGTGATGAAGTAATACTGTCATTAAGGGAATCAACCGACAACACGCACACTTTGTAACTCCTGTTAGCTTTGAGATTATTGGTAATAATAAAAAATAAATCTGCTAATAGAAAGAAGACAAGACTTCAGCCCAACCTGTTCTTGTTCAGCTATGTAATGAATGGCTCATTCAGCTGTTCTGTCACAAGGGAGGAGCTGGAGCAGAGGTGAGGAAAGGGGCCAGAGCTGTTGCTGCAAATGCGTATGTAGAAACACTGTTCGAAACCCCAGGCAGCATCTACAGAGCTGGCAGAAAAATCCTTGCTGTCATTTGAAATGAATATGGACCTACTATAGAAAATAAAGCAAAATCTGTTTAAGTTCTGAGTTTTTGTTTATAATATTAATGCATACTGCTTGTTCCAAACCCAGTTGCTTGGTAATCACTTTTTCATGTCTTCTACACTTCATTTCCTGGGAATTTATGTCTGCTGAGGGAGTGGTTACCTAATCAGGGAAAAAAAAAGTGATTAATTACTGTAGGTATAACCATTATTCCCCCCTCAGGAATAACAAAGGTGGGTCAGAGAATGTGGATGTAACCATACTTCCAAAGAGCTCTCAGGAAATTCTTTTCTTTCCTCCCCTCTCCGATAGCTCTTTGCTAAAGCTAATAGATACTTCCTTTAGAACAACCACGCTAGAAGCAAATCAAGGAAAAATCACAAACCCTGGCTTGGAATTTGAGCTGTTTTTTAAGAAGTTATCCTTCACTGAATACATAAAACTGTCCAAAACTAAGATACAAAAAAATGGTTTAGATTACTTCCCTTCTGCCTCAAACACAGTACAGTTAATGAAAATCATGTGGAACATAACATCAGCTTTTGTGAAAAAGAAATGTAACAAGAACAGCTATATAAAGTCATTTCAAAGGGCACTTTTAGATCAATATCTGGCCTAAAATGGCAGTCAACAACAGATTCCTAAGGAAGAATGTCAGAATAAAGCAATCATATGACGCATCTTCTTTGGCAGTTGCACAGAGCTTCTGACAGTGTGGTTCAGAGACTTTCTGAACCACAGGTGGTATCATGGTATTTAATAATTGTTAACAGACATATAATGGAAAAAAAATCATCTTTTGGACTAATCTAAACTCTTAGAATCCTTAATATCCAAAGACAGAGCTTCACAATTTAGCTATACTTTAAGCACTTTATTTTCTTCTAAGTACTTTGTTTTTAATCTTTTACTTGATAATTGTGCTCAGTGCCCTCTAGGTCTTGTCTTAGGAAAAGCAATCATTCTGTGTCCACTTTTCTGTGTCATTCATGAGTTTATATATCCCTGTCACATGTCTCCTTAGCTATAGTCTATTGGATTGTAACTATCTATTTAAACAGTTCTTTATCTCTGAGAGTCTTTGTCACTCATTCCCATGTCTTTACTATTCCAAGAGTACATTTCAAGTGACTCAAGAATACAGAGACAAGAAAAAAAGTGTTTCAGAGCATAAAGATTTACAGACTTGAACATGTGGCAAAACCTGGTCTTCAGATGTCCCTGCTCCTTGCGGGGGGGGGTGGTGGGGGTGGTGGAACTAGATGACCTTTAAAAGTCCCTTCCAACCCAAACCCAAACCGTTCATGATTCTATGATTCATCCAGATGAAGAAGGCTAAAGTAATAAGTCCAAATTGCCATACATTAAGCGCAGGTAAAAACATCTTTGTTTCCACATGCCTCATATACACACACTTTGGCTTTATTTTTCTCACACTGAAGGCTAAATCCAAATACAATATAGGCAAAGTTAAACGTACATAACTTTTTAATGCACAGGTTGAACCTTAAATTTAAGGTAAAGGCACCTTCTAATCAGCCCCTTCTGAACCACCAAATCTCTCACAGAGCCATCCTGGTGTGGTATAGTATTGCTTCAGCTTTGAAGGCCAACAGCCTTAGGACCAAGAAGCAAGACTCAGGTTTGTTCCCTTTAATTTTATGCACTGGCCTAAGTCTCCAGAGTTACTAGCAGTCATCTTCATTCCCCCCAAACTCTTTATTGGAGCTACTCATCTCTTACGATGAGTGAGATTAATCTCTGCAGTGCAGTGAATCAAGTGTCTAAAGTTAGATAGGATGGTAAGGTCAAGCACTGTGAAGAACATCCAGTTCTTCACATCTGTATTCCTTAAGGCTCAAGTGCATTTGCAGATCTGCTCTCCCTATGCCCACAAACTAACCGCAAATCTTGCAATAACAATGGTATCATTCCACAAGACTAATAAAAGTAGTCTAAACACTGCCATGATTGAGATGGAAAGTCACAAGTGACTGGAGTCACTTGGCTGAAATAGTGCCATACTGGGAGGAATGTTCACTTCTTACTTAAGGCACAGTCATTCAGCACTAAAAACAACTCTGCTGATTGCCCAGTATCAAACTTACCATTTCTGAAGACAATCACAGAGAAGCTAACAAAGTTCAGCTACAGGATCATTTAATTAGAGCAAGGTTGACTGCCAAAGCATGGCAAGGTATCTCATTTCACTGGTCACGAAGGACTTCATTCAGTGCCTAACTACAGTTGTTTAGGGCCATTAAGATGCCCAAGTTTCCCAGGTGTCCTTACCCTGTCCTCTTAGAAGGTTTGGGGTGTTTCTTCCATTCATGTGTTGTATCTTACAGCCATCTGGGTTTTTCTATACCCTTGGGCAGTGCAAAGGCCGTGAGAGGTGGGTCACTGTGGGAAAACAACAATCTTTGGGACTCTCATGTCAAGTTATTGCATTTGTCTCAATCACTTTATTCCTTTCTCTGGCCTGTGTTGGCCCTGTTGGCTTTGGCAGCCTGCTGGCCATCCTGACTGAAAAATACCACCAGCAATCAGGAGATAGTGCAAGGGCTCCTCACCACCCCCCCTGCCCTCACAGAACTGGAGAAGTCCACACAGCAAAGAAAGGAAAAAAAACGAGGGTAGAAGCCAAAGAACAGTAAGCACTGAGGGAGCCGGAATTGGCCTACGTATCACAGAGCTGAGCATATAAACGGCTGTGACCCGCTGCCACAGCTCGGGCCTCGTACAGGTGGGCCAAAGGGACGCAGACACCATAGGCACGGCCAGCGCGGGCCGCACGCACCGGGAGCTCCCGGGAAGTCAAACATCCCGCTCCAGGGCCAAGACTCCGCCCTAGAGCCCGAGCCCCAGCCCAGCCCAGCCCAGCCCAGCCCAGCTCAGCCCCGCCCCGCCCCGCCCCGCCAAGTAGCGGATTGCGTCGGCGCACCACACGCTCTGACTCAGCCCATTCCCTTACCCGGCCCCGCCCCGTTGGCGGCCTTTGGCGCCTGCGCGGGGTTGGACCCTGACGGGAGTCCGGCCGCTGCCGTGCTGTGGCCGGTGATGGAAGTGGGGTGGCTGTCGTTGCCATTGTGGCTGCAGGGCTTGGCGCTGCTGTGGGGCCGAGCCAGCATAGGGCTGGCGCAGCTCAGCACCCCGGCTCCGCCAGCACCGGTACAGGGTAAGGAGGGGCGGGGGACAGAGGAGCAAGGGGAGCTGTTCCCTTCCTCTCAGAGGAGGGGCTTGCCCGTGAGTGCGGGCTGTGGGGCCTTCCCGAGGAAGGAGGCTCTCTGGAACAGGGCTGTGGGGTGCACGGCGGGAGGGAGGCAGGTGCTCGCCCCGAAGCTTGCAGGTTCTAAGCGTCTCATGGAGGGCTGGTGGAACTCGGGGGCTTGCCGCGGCCCGGCGCAGGCTGGTTCCGGTGCTTCGGCTGCACCTCTACCCCGGCTCCAGTGGAACGGGGCCTGCAGCCTCCTGGCCAAGGGCTGGCTCCCAGCCTCGACCGAGGGAAGTGCGATGGCACTGAGGTTTGTGCAGCCGGCCGGCCTTCAGGGCCGTGGGGTTATCGGGGGTTTTGTTGCAAGGAGACGGCAATCGCCTAGGCTTTTTGGCGTCTGACTGGTTGTGAGAAATGTGATTTGGAAGGAAACGCCGACAGAAATTCTCTTGCCATCCTGCTTGTGCTGTTGGGATCGCTTATCTCATAGCTGCTTTTGGAAAGCTGTTGGTGAAGCTCATCCTCAAATCTGATTGCCATTAACGCATGTGGCCAGAAAGGGGCACATTAGGTTAGTTTGCATTAAATTAGGATACATCAAGTACTTCTAAACACACCTTGACACGTGTGTGTAGAGTACAATTTGAGGTGATTGATTTCTTTTATGGAAAGGTTTATACTTGAAAAGGAAGTAATCGAACTCTGTAAGGCAACTGACATGAAGCAGAAGAGAAAGGAAGTAGTCAGTGTTTCTCAGAGGAAAGAACAAAAGGTAGACCTGCTCATAGCTGCAAGTTAATCGTGTTTTTTTTTTTTTCCTAGTAGTGCTGAGAAATATAAATGAAACAAAAGAGTTTCTTATGGATTCCCTATGAAAGAAGTTTTCACATATTATTCTTATGTGAGTTTAGGAATTTGCTTACGACACAAAGTTGATTCTTGATATGAAGAAGGATCATGATGATGTACAGAAAGATGTGGGTGACTTTTGAGGAATAAATACTAGAAAAAAAGGTTAAATTGAAAAAGAAAAGATTGTTATGTCATATGACTAGTATCATTCTAATATTATAACAGCTGGGGGGGAAAAGTAGGGAGATATGCTTGATGACTGTCAAATGCATAGCAGTTGCTGGAGTGATGCCCTCCTGAAGAGAGGGATGGCAGTTTTATGGTAGTTTTTCCAGTGCTGTGGGACGTTGTGTGCCATCCTGATAAATACTCCACAAGTTCAGCAACTATGCTCAACAGGGCTGGACTGACACAAAGCAGGGCTACAAAGGCTGCATTATTCCCTATTTCAGAAAATACCAGGAAGAGTATTGCTTTTATTGCTGGAGCAGAAGGAAGGTTGAGTAAGATAAGTGCTCTTATACCAGTGGGAGGGAACAACTCTGTAAGTTGAAGAACAGTGTTGTCCTGAGAACGGGGGCAGAGAACAAACAAATTAAGCTTATTCATGGCTAATTTATTTTAGGTGTTGAAAGGTTCCCGGCCCCTCTCTCTGATCTTAAGATTGTATGGCAGTTGTCAGTCCTTAGTGTATGTTGGTATAGAGCCTTGTTTTCCTTGAAAACATTAAATCTATTAATTTGCTACCTTCATGCACAAATACTTATTGGAAAGGGGAGAGAGGGATAAAGCTGTTTTTTAAACAAAAGAATTTTGTTTTTAAAACAACATTGTCAGCATTATTCTATTTTACCTGTATTTTGTTCCGTAGTTTGTGCATTGTTACCTTGGTCCATGAGTATGTCCCCTAGAAAGTGAGATCAGTCAGAATTTAGTACAGTTCCTGTAGGTGTGGGCACTGTTCTAACTGTAATTAAAACAAATGCATGAACAATAATAGCTTTTTCTTATCTTGTAAGAATGTAATCTTCATACGGCTACAGTTCACTGTGTACAAGATGTTACACTGAACTATTTTGGTAAAAATTACACTTACCAAAATAATGTTTCTGGTACTTGGTACTTCGAAATTACTTCTCATTTTGATACATGTTAGGTGATTAATGCTGATGATATATGCTGGTATAAAAACAATGACTGTGTTTGATAAAGACTGTTTAAAGTGCAGTGTGAATTATTGTTGATAGTGGTGCTGTGGCTTATTCATTTTTTCCCCCCCCCCATAAAGATGATACAGTAGTCCCTTGAAATACTAGAGGGAGACTGTGAACTTGATATCTGTTTGAATAAAACAGAACAAAACAACCCAAATCAAAGTTGTGTTTGTGTAATGTCAGAGGGGTGTTTGGATTTTTTTTCTTGTTCAGTTTGAGAGGTGTTTTCTTCTGTCTTCTGCTGTCGTGGGGAGCACTGACTGTAACTGGTGGGAAATTTATATAGTTATGTGACCCACAGAGACACATAATACAAAATGAATTTTTTTCATCATTTGTAGTAATGTTAGATTTTGTAGCAGCAGTACATAAAGATGATTTTTGAGAGAGATGTTGTGATGATGTATTTCAAAATATTTTCATTTAGCCTTATGCTCTGCTTTAGAATAAATATAAATAACAGGAGTGTAATTTTTTTTTATAATTTAAGTCCTGTTCTTTTGGTATATGGCAAGTATAAGTTAGCTGATTTAATATGTCAATAGGAAGATGATAAACTGCATGGAAAACTTGTGAGATTACCCTCTTTGGTAAGAATCTGAGGCACATTCCATTTTTGCACATTGCCGTAGACTGGTCAGTTACTGAAAATATAACCTAACCCAGGTTTTTAGAAGTCCTTGGTGTACTTACATGCTTCTCACAGTACCTCACTAATTCATGTTCAGAAAGCTGTTTTGTTTAGGTGTTTTAAATATTAAAAAGATAATGAAGTGTTTTTATAATAAGCATGAACTGGTACCTAAGCCTTGCACCTAGACTGTTTCTCAGTTATTGATACTGGATACAATGTTAACTGGTACCAGATAAACTAGTTAGTGTTTTTTTCTATATGGATATGTTAATAAAAGATAAATATCAATTAAATAGATTTAATGTTAAGGATTACCATCAGAAAGGCATAACATTGAAATATGGAGAGAAAGTATTGAAATATGTAGTTGTCTCAAAACATGCAAATAATTTAGCTCAAATTGATAACTACTTGCGACTAATGCAGTTACTCATTAAAAGTAAAATTGAATACCTAGTTTGGAAACATTTTCTCATACTTATATATGGAAATAATAAAAAAGTGGGTTTCATTAAATAGTATTCTAAGTGATGATAGGATCTATAATTACTGAAGAAAAATACAGGTTCAGGCCTGGAGAGGAGACTCCTTCTCATCTGTCGAGACTATGGCCTGAACATGGTTCTGTGGACAACAGATTGTGTCTTCATTGTGGATAAAAAATAATGGCGTTAAGACAATAAGCATGCAGTAATTCTCAAAGTCATAGCCTTTGGCTGGAATCCTCTGGGAATGTGAACACCAGTAAGTATTTTTTTGGTTTTTTTTTTTAGGATATGAGTCTTTTCTTAAAAAACCAAAGAAAATATGATTAAAGTCCTTCTGCATCATGTGGCTCTTTAGACTGTTGTTGGTATTCTTGTTGACCTTTTGCAAAAAGTAGCTACGTTCTATGTTTGCAAATTTTTTACTTAAAATCATGTTACTTGTAGAGCTTTATCTTTAAAAAACTTCTCCCCCCCTCCCCCCCCAAGAGGTTCCTGGAACAGACACCAACCCTAGGCACGGGTCAGCTTTTGCTAGGCTTCCAAAGCTGCAACCTCAGTATGTTCTCAAAATTGGAACTTCAGCTGACATACAGTGAGACTCTTGGGTTGTATCTCCTATGTTGTCCTTAGAAAAAGCAAACTGAAGTTAAAGGTAAGCTTGAATTGTTTCCCTAACTATGTCAGAGGTCAGATTTGAATGCTTTATATCTCTGTTTGCTACAGTTCTCCTGGAATGGAATTACTGAACTTTAATTACTTCAGACAAGATTCTTGCTTATATGTAGAAGCAGGGGGAAAAAAAAAAAAAGAAAAAAAGGCTAAATGTTGCTAAATGTTTGACATTACTGAGAAAAAAATATAATCTGTGTGGTTTCTTTTTTCTTTTTCCTAGCATGTTCAGAGTTTTCCCAGAAGTCCTGTGAAGAATGTTTAAAAAATGTTTCAGTAAGTTTTTTAACATCCTTTTTGATGGGGAATTTGGTGGGGTTTTTTTTCCCCTTGATGTGAAATCAAATTGCTATAGTTTGGTTGGTTGGTGGGGGTTTTGACTTGTCTGTAATCATGAATCTAGTCAAACTGCCCATAGGAAGAGGAAGTCAAGATCAGTTAGTTGTAATATCTGTTCTTATTTAACTGGCAGAGTCAACTTCCCCTCTGTCACACTCGATGCCAGTGTGCTTTTACTTTGGCAAGGTTGCTCTGTGACTTCGTCGCTCAGGGTATTTTTCTGCTTTGTCTGGAGAGGACAGACTGTATAGAATCCAGTTTTGGTGTGTTCAGTACTTTCATAGTTCAACTGAGCCAGTTGACGTTGCTGCTGGTTTGGACTCATCCTTGTTTTGCAAGCAGCACTTGCAATTCCATCTTATAAAAAAATTCCATCTTATAGAAGAGTCAGACTGAATGTTATGTGGCTAAAATGTCTTGCATTGCTTGCATGCTGAGTAGGAGATTTGGGAAATTAAAGTAAATTACCTAGAAATGCCTTTCTCTGGAGATGCCCCAGGCAATGTGTTTAATTGAGGCAGACTGGATCAGTGATTTGTAGATGTTCAGACCTGTTGGCCTTTCCACTGACTACATCAGACTGTAAATGCTTAAGACTGCCACGTGAGGTCACCGTTTTGGCGGCAAAGTCTTTAGATTTCCAGTGAGACTGCTATAAGGCAGATGTTTAAACCAACAGAATTTATTTCTCCATCCTTTGTTGAAAACCTTTTTAGCTCCACAGGAAGGTTTTGCAATAGCTATGCATAAGGTGTCTGTCCCTGCAGAGCAGACGGAATTCCCATATTTAAAGTGAGAGATTGTTTGGAATTCTAACTTTAGATGTCACTGAAAAGAAACATTTCATGAATCTTTAAGTTACGTAAGTTACTGCAAAACTTTTGTCACTAGGGAAAATTGAGAAATATCTGAACTTAACTTTTTTAATGCTTATGTATATTTTGGCTTTTTAAGGGAAAAACATTAATTGGTTTGTATTGATGTGGTTATTGTGTGTTGTCAGACTTGTATATTAGTTGTCGTAATCATGGCATTGTGTAAATAATTCTTAATCTTCCAAAGTATAAAGTAGGAAATAGAAAATATGAGTCATTAAAGATTTAATGTACAGCACTACCACTGGTGTGGCTGTCACTTCAAATAAGTGCTGCCACAGAACATGAGTACAGCTTTTACTTACCTTAGAACTATGTGTTCACCTTGTAAGAGAAATCCTTTAGCTGTGTTTGTATACTGAAGACACTAGTGGAGTTATAGATACATTATTTCCAGAATCTGTGAAACCAGTGGTAGTGTCAAAGCTTTTCTGGGTGACAGAATGATGGATGACTCAGGGTAACTGCCTCAATAGCATCAGTGTTAAGCTTGGAGAAAGGAGTTCAGACTTGATTCACACAATTAAAGACAAACAAAAAAAACAAAATAACCCTACAGAACAAAGCCATTAACATTTATGTGAGCAACACAAAAGCACCAGAAAGCTAAAATTACTTTAATTGCTTCAGTAGGGAAAAAAAATCAGGTTTTCATATTGTTGTTAATAAAGCAGCAGATAAAAACAAGAATGAAACATTTAGTGAATAGATAAAACCAGCTCCAAACAAACCCTAAAATGTAGTAATTTAGTTCACTTAAATAGAATTGTAATCTGAAATGATGTAGGAAATTATATGATGAAGGAATATAGCTAATTTTGTGAAGGAAAATTGGGAATAAAACACTTGTGTACACCTATGTGATTATAGAGAAAAAGTATTTATTCTGTGTTTGTGGAGACAAACCAGGTGATACTTACACTGTCTATGCTTTGTTAGTTCAGGAAAGTCTGTTTGCCAGTGTTCCCCTGGGGCTTGGCCTTGCCTTACTTCTCCCGGGGTGTCTTCCTTACTGTTTTAGAGTTATTAACACAGCATAGGTGACATCAATGCACTGTTATATTTGCCACTGTCTGCATGTGAGGCCTATGGACAGAGGCTTGCAGCCATCACATTGGCTCCCATATGTCATTCATTGTGAGCTCTCTTCAGTGCCTCTCTTGCCATTAGAGTGGTGATCAACACTTCCTTGTCTTTGGTGATCTACCACCCATCTGATGATTTAACAGATTCCAGTTGCTGGGCCAATTTGTTGTCACTTTCTGTACAATCTGGAGGTTCCCATTCTACTTTTCCTGTGGGTGTGAGAGCTCCAATAAGTTGCTCTGCCTTTGCCACCCTCTTAGCTGATTCATTGGGCCTTAAGTTTCCTTCTATTACCTCTGTCTGTCTGTTCTGGTGAGTTTCACAGTATATAATTGCAACTTCTTTAGGCTTCAGTACAGCTTGTAATAGATCTAAACTTTCATGTCTGTATTTGATAGGGGATGCTTGTGATAACGGTTTTCATTATTTCTCAGTAGCCCCGTAGGTATGGACTACACCAAAGGCATATTTTGAGTCAGCATAAATATTCACATGTTTTATCTGCTGATAATTCAAGAGCATATGTCAGAGCTATTGATTCAGACTTTTGTGCCAAGGTGTTAGAAGGCGATGCTCAGGTTTCCACATGCTTGTTCAGCATAACTGTGGCATATCCAGCTCTCTTTTCTCCATTTATCATAAAATTGTTTCCATCTGTATATAATTTCAGGTCTGGAGGGGTTACAGGTATATGCCTCAAATCAGGCTGGCTGAAATGCACCTATTCATGACTTGTAAACAATCATTGTCTTGACTCTTTTTTGCTAGCATGTAATATACCTGCAGGAATCAAGGCCAGTGATGTCAAAATCACAAAATCTTGTGTGATAAGCACTTCCTGGTATTGAGTTAATCTGCTAGGTGAAATCTAGTGATGCCCTTTTGATCAAGACCTGCGAGCACTGCATGCAGTAGGCTACTGTGATAAACTGTAGCAATGTTACCTTCTGGGCTACTTTCATTAGCAGCACCATAGCCACTGCTCTGAAACAGGCCAGCCATCTGTTGCTTAGTTCATCTGTTTGTTTATAAAAATATGTTACTGACCTCTTACTTGATCGCAAAGTCTGAGTTAACATTCCCAGAGCCATGTATTGATGCTCTTGTGCATATACAAAGAAAGATTTCATCGTATTGGGCAGTTCCAGGGCTCGAGCTTTCACTAACGCAATCTTAAGGCTGTGGAAACTTTTTTGGCACTCTGGGAACCACATTAGGATTTCTTCAGGGTAATGATTTGGCCATTAGGCTAAAACTGGCTAGATTCTGCACCAGCCTGCATTTCCCAAGGAGTCTTTCAGTTCCTTTTTTGACTTGGGGTGGGGGTGCTATTTGTCAAATGGCTTTTTTTTCCATCTGTGCTCAGTGCCGAAGTTCCTTGGGAAATCTCAAAACCCAGATAGGTAACCTCTTCCTTCACCAGCGGAGCCTTTTTCTGTGCCATGTGTTATCCAGTCAATCCCAGAAAGTTGAGCAAATCTATTGTAGTTGCTCTGCATTCTGCTTCTGTTCTGGTCTACAGCCAACAGATCATTCACATACTGTAACAAGGTAACAGAAGGTTTCTGTCTTGCCATTATTCTAATTCTTTGGCTAGTACATTACCAAACAGGGTTGGACTGTTCTTGGGGCAGCACAGTCCAGCAGAATTGCACTTTCCTTCCAGTGGCTGGACTTTCCCTTTCAAAGGCGATTGTCTGGCGTTTGTCTTCCAGAGGGATATGAAAGAAAGCATCTTTTAAGTCCAGAACTGTATAATGCTGATGATATTCAGGTAATGCTGATAACAGTGTATAGGGATTAGGCACTACTGGGTGTATATCAACCATTATTTTACTAATTTCTCCTTAAGTTCTGGACTAACCCCTGAACTAACCAGTATTCTTGAGTTTGTGGCTTCCTTACTGGTAGTATGGGGTATTGTTATCTGGCATTTTTGCAACAAACCATACTGCATAAAGGTATTTATCAGGGTTCCAACCCCACCTTGGCCTCTGGATTTAAAGGCTGTTTCTTTCTTACTGGCTGAGATCCTGCAATTAGATTTACTTTAACAGGTGCCACATTCTTTGCTCATTCTGGTGTCTTTGAAGCCCACACCAAGGGACTTAGAGCATTCAAGATTTCATCTGAGATTCTGTGGCTTCCTTCTTCCCTTCTATCAGTAGGCACAGCTGGACTTTCCGTGCTGTTTTTTTGTGGTGCATGTGGCTGAATAGACTTACCAGGGAAAGTCAATTGAGCTTCTGATTTGTATGACAACTCTTCTCCCAAAAGCAGTAAGGGGCATTCTGGCATATACAAAAATTCATGTATTAAAGTGGTATCTCCTATAGTTCACTCCATGGATTTGTTAAAAAAGGTCTCAATGTCTGCTTTCCCTTAACTCTAGTGATTGGCATATGTAATTTCCCTAAAGGTCCTCTACACTTAGTCACTACTGAATAAGCAGTTATATTCTATACTAAAATATATCTTCACAGTGTTGTACTCTGTCAGGGAAAAGGAGCACTAAATTCTAAACTGTTTTTGAAGATGAATGATGTGGTTGTTTTTTGTTTCTTTTGCACAGTGCCTTTGGTGTTACACCAACAACACTTGTGTTGATTACCCTGTAAGAAGCATTCTTCCACCATCTTCATTATGTTCCCTCTCAAATGCTCGATGGGGAGTTTGCTGGAGTAGGTACTAATTTTACTTTTGCTGTAGAGAATGATTTAAGCGTATGATTAAAGTAAGCCTACTGTTTCTAGAACTGTTTCCTGATAATTTATTTGGAGGGGTAAGGGGATCATAGTCTTTAATCTTCTGGATTTACAGTCATTGTTAAGGGTTCTTTGTGAATAGCCAGTATAGTTATGTTGGTCCAATGACTTTAAAACATTCACTATATAGTAAAGTTCTGTTGATGGTAAGGTGCAGGCTGGGAACAAGTCATGTTGGAATGTTCTGAGTATTTTATGTATGTAGTCAGGGTTCACCTGTTTCTTAATCCATACTTCTGAGTTACAGAGAAATAAGGTCATTCCCTGTTGACAAAAGGTGACTATTCTTTCTTTTAAAAAAAAATTCTTAAAATGTTGACTGGTATGACTGGGTCCACAGCTTTTTATAGTATATTCCAGTAGCAGCAGTGAACCAGTAGTACCACATCATTTAATTGCTCTTAGATTTCCTTTTACTTTACATGTTATGTTACAAAACACACTGTGGAGCACATGCTGCCATTGGGGTGAAATCTTTGGTGCTATTTTTGCAATACCGTTTATGCAGATTTAAATTCAAATAAGACTGGAGTAGAGAACAAGTAAGACATTGGTAAAGCTTGTCTTAAGAGTACAGCATCAGTCCAGCAAAGCAGAGGCTTGCTGCTTTCTATGTATTTGCTTATGAACACCAGGATGGTAAAGGACAAAACCCAAGGGGTGTGAACTGTCAGTGACCATTAACTATAAATTAGGAGAATGTTATCACACATAGAGCAGTAAAATTACACAGTAGTCTAAATCAGAGTAGCAGAGGTAGAAGATTGCTATTGAAATGGAGCATGTAAGTTTTTGAATGCTACCTCTTCTAGTCCCTGTTTGCAGGGATTATATGATTGGACAGTACAGGAGAACTTTACCAATCCTTTGCTCTTTAGTAGAAGGGCACTACGCTTTGTTCTGTGAGATAAACCATTTATGCTTAGACTTCTGGAGTTTTCCTAGAGCTTCAGAAGGTATATCATTTCACTGATAAGGCATGCTTCTAAGGAAGTCAGGCTTTTAATATTATAGTAAATGCTCTTGCTGTGAAATGTTAGAAAACTTTTTTCTGGAAGTGTGGTACCCATACAGTTGCTTGCTCACTCCCTCCCCTGACCCCAGTGGGGTGCAGGAAGAAAAGAACAAAAGCAGAAAGAACTAAAGCAAGAAAACTCATGGATATTGAGAGAAAGGCAGTTTTATAGGGGAAGGAAAAAAGCAGGGGAAAGGGAAGTGCAAAGGAAATTGTTTGCAATCTCCCACAAGTGGACTGGTGGCCAGCCAGTCCCTAAACAATAGTCACCTTGGAAGCCAAATACCACCTTCACTTATTTTTCCTTTAGCCAAAGTTTTGTTGCCGATCATGGTATTATATGGTGTAGAATTGGCCAGTTTGGGTCAGCTGTTCTGGCAGTGTCCCCTCCTGACCTCTCCAGTTTCTTGCCTAGCTGCAGCCCTACTCACTGAGGGGAAGAGAAAATCTTGATGCTCGTCAAGCCTGTTCAGCAGCAGCTGAAACGTAGGTGTTTTATCAGTGCTGTTTTAGACAGAAATCCAAAACACAGCATCATACCAGCTGCTATAGAGAAAATTAACTCGGCCACACCCAGTACAGAAGTGCATGTCCTTTTGCAAAGCAGCAATGACCAGTATCTACCGATACAAAGGGAGTTCCTGCTAGTTTACTCCTGCTGTAGAAAAGGAGGCTTCTACCTTGGGCTCCATTTGTGTTGCTAGGTTGAATGTGGCTTAAACACAGAATGAAAACTTCATAATTGAGCACATTCTAAGCAAAAAATTCAAGTAATAAAGTAATAAAGAAAAAAAAGACCCTTCAGAACCAAAACAGTAAACCCCACCAGATCTGCATTTCCTTAATATACTTTTTACAAGTTATATGCAGCAGCACACCATGGGGATATATATAGTCATACTGAGATTGTCGCCTTTGGACATGGCAGAAAAATTAATTACCAGATGAGTGCAGTGGTGGTGGTTTTTTCTTTTTGCAAATAAAATGGAGATGGGTATTGGCTCAGTGTTGCTAAGATGAAGGTGAATATTGGAGCTTTCAAAAAAAGTCAGAAACATGACTGGCTTCCAGTTACTATTTTATATCAAATAAGACATGTTAACAGATTATTAACCAGCAGTGAAGAAAAAAGAATGGTATGGGAACAGCGTAATGAAGTAGTTTAATTGTACTGTTTTTCATGAATGATAAGCAGATGAGATAGTGGAGACAGGAACACAGAAAATTGATAATCATCTTCTGCAATTTATTAATAGGGTCAAAGTATTTTTGTGCTTCAATTAAATAGTATACTTTAAAAAATGAAATGGCAATCAAACCTATTTTTCATTTTTACTTCATTGAATGAAGTTTATTTAATTGCTTATAACTTGGAGTAGAAGAAGGACAAATGTGGCATGCTGAAATGTGTTACTTTCAGAATTGACATGTTCAGAATTGTGTGCTGTAACTAGAAACTATGTATTAATCTGTTTATAAACTGGTACCCAGTAAACTATAACACAGAAGCAAAAATATTTGTTGAGATCTAGTCTTTAGCACCATCTGTGAAGGACATGCCTTGGCCGGAAATGAGTTGGTGAGATCTGTAAAGATGTAACAGACTCTTTGACTTGTGCATGTGATCAGAGAGGACAGACCCTCTGAATCTCACTTGCTAAATTTGACTGTCTTATCACTACAGAACCCTGAAGCAGTAAAAAGCATGTGTGCAGCTGCCTTTGTATTACTACAGCAGCATGAAGCTGCTGAATCTGACCATTCAGAGGCATTTATATTGGAGAAGGGAGAAGAGACAGCTTCTCTGTCACTTCCCTCATGCTTTAAAATAGGTAGTGTGAGGTATGTGTGCCAAGAGGTGTTTAGTTTTTCTTACCACTGTTGTTACAACTTCCCTGGATGGTTTCATTTTCTTCTTTGTTGGGTCCTTTAAATAGCTCCTCAGAGTTGTATCTATAGCTTTGCTTAATGTCATCCCTGTTTGCTTTCTTCTTGGACCTCACTCGAGGACATGATTTTTTTGTTTGTTTGTTTGTTTTTTTAGTAAATGCAGTCCCTTGAATGCTGGTTTAGACCAGCTACGGTTGTTATAGTATATGCTGTTAAAATAATACCCCCCATCCATTTGTTAATTGCTCATTGAACATAAAAGATGTCTGTCTTTAGACATAGAAGATGACTTACAAATTTTTATGGAGAGTTTTACATTGTCTCCTTCAAATTCTCTGATGTTGTAACCTTAATTTCATTTTACTCTCTGTGAACTGCAGCAGGTAATGTGTGTATATATATATATATATATCTGCATCTATATGACTTTACAAACTCTTTTTGTTCGTGCTGCGCATTGGCTAAGGTCATGATCAGAAGGGTGGAACTGTGGAATCACACCAGTAGATATATAACCTATGAAGTATTACAGGATGACTTTTAATAACTTGGTATATGTAAAGAAAAATTTTATGTAATGTCTCTTCAGTGCTGATTATGCATAGTAGCAAAATTCAAATGTGGTATGCTGAGTTTTAGCTGGGGTAGTTTCACAGAATTGTGGGTTTCACTTTCTTAATGCAGAGATTTAAAATGCTTGGGAAGGAGGGGAAGGATTATTAGAAAGACAAATGTTATTGTTGGAGTCTAACAAGTTGAATATATTCCTGTTTTTCAGTAAACTTTGAGGCTTTAATTATAGCCATAGCTGTAGTAGCTGGGCTCATTCTGGTGTCCATAGCAGTCTGTTGCTGTTACTGCTGTTACTGCAGAAGGCGTTCCAGGAGGTAAATACCTATATTTGTTTCCTTTACTAACTGTGGGTACTGGTCTTCCTTAGCTACCTACAAGATTTACTCTCAAATATACTAAGAATCGTTTAATTTGGAAGTGACTGAAAGACCAAAGTGACATTTTTGGTCACTTTGCTGTATTTGTTTGGGAAAACAAAAAAGGAAGTGTTTTTTGATAGGCAGTATGGCACTGAAAATGATGCTAAAATGACACTGAAGTGATGTTATTAGTGGTAGCATCATAGAAGTGTGTTTTAAGTAAGCTATTGCTTTGTACTTCTACATTTTACATTTCCTTGTTATGATTGGACATGAAATATTTCAGTAGCCAAATAAATACTTGCTTATTGTGATAACAAAACAAATTTATTTCAAGGCAAGCTCATGATACAGCAAAAAGGGACCAGGTACATAATAAGTAACTCAGCTACAGTGCCCTACAGCACTTGGTATCCATGCTTCAGAATTTGCTCTGGGATCTGTCAGCACGCAGTCAGTACCTAAGTGATTAGCTGTCTTTGCCAAAGACAGATATTCAACAAAATAATCTAAATGTAAGATGATGCTTTTCTGCTGTAAGATACTAAGAGTGATGTTACTTATTTTAAAGGAAAGTAATATTGCAAAAATTTAAAGTTCTTAAGATCTTGGAGGACTTGTAAAACTTTTTGTTTAACTGGCTTCTCTATTGGCCAGTATTGTTCAGATGGAGGGAAGTAGTTGATGACTAGCTAAAACAGGTAAGTCAGTGCTGCCATGTGAAGTGTTCGGTGCTTATTAATGAAGCACTTGGAAGGCTTTGTTTATTGTGACAGCACATAATGTTTCCTTCTGTCATTGAAGTTTTAGAGCTCAGGTTTCTGGGCAGTGTAGTTTCAGCTAGCTCTATTCCTTTAGTACTTCTTATGTGAACAAAAATTTGGGCCTTATTTCTTGATCTGAAATAATTTCTATACTATTTCCAGTACCTGTAATCAGTTGGTTTTGTATGAGGGTTGTGTTTGTTTTTTAAAGAGCTGATGTGGCTGTACAGTAATTAGGGCTCATCTTCAAGCCAGATGAGTATGCTACATCTGTAGCCTTAAAGAAAGGAGAAAATAATTGTAAATAACACGGCATTCTGCTCGCTATTCCTTGAGGAAGATGCATGCACTTGTTCTGCTGGTAGATTGGTCTACTAAGTCTTTCCTAGTGCAGGAATTGATAACTCTTTAGCCCTGTACTGGTAAGCCCTGAAGATGTATAGAACTGTTTTAGATTTTGTGGAAGATCTGCTAGTGTCTTCTGAAGAACTGAGTATGCCCCTGTGGCTGGCACACCAACAAATAAAGCTTGATTCCTGTGAAAAGAGATATTTGTGCCAGACTTCAGTTTTAGTAGCTAAGTCGTCAATCAGTACTGTAACATCTAATTCTAAAAATAGTTACTTGAGAGTCATCTTGTGCCAGGATCCTAAAGTGTCAAGCTTAATCTTCTGATACTTAAAGGATTTAAAGGTCTTGTCAGAGTGGGGTCCAGCTTATTTCAGGAGGTTTCAGAATGTGTTATTACACTGAAGCCTGATATATTACTGGCTTTAAACCCACTGATTCTCAGCAGGAATTCTGCTCTCTGCTTCCCCAGTTTTTGGACTCCTTTTCCACAAGATAAAGTTTTGTTGGTTGTGGTTGGATTCCCCACCCCTCCCCTTCTAGGAATTTTTAAGCTGTGGGGTTTCAGTGTTCGAGAAGCCAGCACTGATCTTTTCCTTAAGCACAAAGAATACTTAGGTATATTGATCCCCACATCAGAAATGTAGCTGGCTCACCTAAGTCCATCCCTACCACAGGAATTCTAGGACAATTGGTGCATTGTTTCAGTTCATTATTTTCATCCTGTATTTGGACTTGGAGTCTGGCTCCAAGTATTTGAGGTATAACTACTTGTGAGACTATACTAGGTAATTCTCTTTACCTTCTTCAGTTTAACAGCTGCTTTTTTATTTGTCTAATATCAGACTTCCTGACTCTTTAAGAAAATCTTAATTCCTTCAAAGTGTCTAGATATCAAAAGAGATTAAATGCCTTTTTTTTAATTATAGGGAAGTAATATATTTTCTGAATCCTATACCAGCATTTTATTTATTTGATGTTTTTATATTTTGTAACACCAATGTGAAGTGAGACTATTGCGTAGTTACAAGACACTTGGGTCTCTAATAAAATAGTCTTGTAGAAGGGTGCCCCAAAATGGGAGCTTCTGGTCTTCCTGGATGTGCAAATGTGGGGAATTGGTTAGTTTTCCAAAAGGGCCTAATGTTGTTTTCCAGTAAAGCTAATCTGTTGCATGTGTTTCCTGCTGCTAAACTCCCCAAAGATTTTTGTAATTCTTTATGTGGAAACAAAAAAGGAGGAACTATATTTTTTTTATGTGAAACATTACATGGTTTCTGAATTACTGGCTTGTATTTAAATGACAGAGATGTTCAAATAGATTTATGACTGAGAAGATGGAAAATTTGAGTTCAGATTTCCAATCTGGTGTCTGTGAATTCTGTTAAAATATTTGACATGCTGCAATTAGCCACTGGATGTCACTCTTGCTTAACTTGTATGTTGGTTGGTGCAGCTGTGTGGTTGGAACAACTGTTCACTTCCTTGTTAGCAGGTATATCAATATTGTAAATATTCATATTGAAAATCTTCAGATAATGCTTTCAGTTTTGAAAAATGCTTAGTACTTGGGAAGCATGGCAGGTGTCTATTCACTAATCTTGAATAACTATCATTAATTCTATCAGAAAAAAATAACGAACAAATAAATACTGTTTAGCATCTGCTTTAAGAATTCTACAATTCTTGTATGGTTTATCTGATGGTTAAGTGAAGCTGTGCTTTTCCCAGAGGTCACAAACCTTAAGTGCCTGCATTCAGTAAAGCATATCTGCACATGCACAGCTCAGATGTACTATGTAGGCTCAGCGTTTCCCAGAATCACTCAGCTGATGCACTCAGGTAAATCTTTGGTCATTCCAGAACAAGGAAGGCAGCTGCTAAGAGAGTTCATGTAAACTGCTTTCCTCGGGGTAGATGGAGATTGGATAGTAATGGGTGTTGGAAAGATAAATTGTTCTGGCATCAAAGGCTTATGAACCATCAATCTTATTCCAGGGGCAACAATGGACTTAATTGTGTGTGTGCAGGACACTTAGTCTGAAATGGGGTGACACGTGGGGAAAATGACAAGTAGGAATCCTGCTTCTGGAACAGTCTGCAACCTGTTCCTGAGAAGTATAAATTGTCCTGTGGAGGCTGAAGGGAACATTACTACAGTAAGTGAAGCATCTCAGTATTGTAAAATGTGAAAGGGTAATTCTAAAAACTTACCAGTTATACTTATTCAGCAATTACAGTTTACATGGCTGTGAAGAAGTATCTCAGAAGGTCAGACTATAAGTCCTTTTTCAAAATAAGTCAAATGAGTAAGTAGTGATTGCCTAGCAGTGAAATTGTTTCTTCCTCCCCTTATGCTTTCTTTACTTCCTTATTTTTCTAGTGGACCAGATGAAGAAGAAGAACAGCTAGCTAGAAAGAGAGAGGAACGAAGATTACAGTCTCTTCAGAGGTAAATCTTGCCAGCTTGATGCATAGCTATGCCCTTCCTGGTAATAGAGGAGTATTCTGCCCTTCTAGTGGAATACTAAACAAAGAGGCACTTTGGAGTTAGGCATGACAATGTCAGGTGTTTACAAAACAGGGCTTATTCTGAGCTTTGTGAGCCTGACTAGGAGCCTGTATTTCCATAAGTGAACAGACTACGAGTAGGTTGATGGTCACTGTGGTAGGTACCACAAGTATGCTGTGTCAGCCAAGAGCAAACAGGAGGGCTGTATCTGAAGTCTTGCCTTGTCTCTCTTGGACTGGTGCCTGTTTGTGGGATGAGTTAATGCCCAAGCAAGGCTGGGATTCAGGCGTGAAAACCACTTTCTTGATTCATTTGGTAACAAAAGGTAGATAGAGAAGTTGATAGTGAGATACCTATTCGAAATTTTTCTCAGGAAATGGAAAACTTCGGCTCAGATCTCACATTAGGATTAATTCCATGTTACCATCATTTCTGTTAAAACTATGTAGAAAGAAGTGCAAGAGTCAGCAGTAATACAGTACTTCTCAGTGAAAATGGTGTTCCTTCAAGTGCAGATTTTTATAGCTTAGTTCTCCAGTGACTTTTCACGGTTTTTACATTTATTCTTTAGATAGCCAATTTTTATAGGTAGGACCGTGACACCTAGTACAAGCCAGATGTACCTTTTGAATCATACTTCCTTTCATGATCCATTATGGAGAGCCACAGCGGATTAGTTTCGGCAAGACATGAGTCCTAACCAAACTAATGCTAGGCTTGAAGCTGTCTGATGTGGGTTTGAATCCCCATGGACTGGAGAGGTAATTGATCTTAGGTTTGCCACTTCCTGGTTATGTTCTCTAAATACATGCCTGCCAAGTAACAGGTAGGCACCTTCACTTTCTTGGTGATACCTACTGTTTTCTCCTGATCCCAGATTAATTGTTAATATGAGCAGAGACTGCAGGGAGCAAATCATACTTCCAGATGAGACCCCTTGTGGAGCTTCTTCATGAAGACATTGTTTTTCCATTACATAATGTGCATAGGAAGACAAAGCAAACAGGCAAACATGCTTGGTTTGCTCAAACATGCTTGGTTTGCTCAAACATGCTTGGTTTGCTCAAACATGCTTGGTTTGCTCAAACATGCTTGGTTTGCTCAAACATGCTTGGTTTGCTCAAACATGCTTGGTTTGCTCAAACATGCTGGTTTGTCTGCTTGGTTTCTGCTCAAACATGCTTGGTTTGCTCAAACATGCTTGGTTTGCTCAAACATGCTTGGTTTGCTCAAACATGCTTGGTTTGCTCAAACATGATATGTTCTGGGTGGGCAGAGAAGTGAGAGCCAGTAAGGTCTTTCTTAGAGATGTACCTACTGTCATTCATGTCTCTGACCAGCAGCAGCTGGGAAAATTGCTCATCTTAGCTCCATGCAAATCTGTTTTCTGGTTCTGAACTGCCAGGTTATACAAACAAATGCAGCAAATGTTTGCCCTGAATCTAATAATGGTTATGGCTCTGTGATACGCAGAAGCAGAATAGCTTAGTTTGATGTGTGCTTTAGCCTTGTACAAAATCCCTAAACTTGTTAGCAATAGAAAGGATTAGAATGGCATACAATGGGAATGTTTAATGAAGAATTTTTCAGAGCTTTGCTTAACGCAAAGCTTGAATGATTAGTTTTAGTTTTGTGATTTTGATTAGGTTTTTTTTTAGAGCTATTACATACTGGCAGTTTAATGTATCTGTTTCAGTTTTCTACTAGTTGTGTAGTAGAAAACAGTTTAGTAGCATTTAAAACTACCAAATTGTCTTTATTCTGCAGAAGTTTTCTTTTTGATGTAGTGTTGCAGTAATGTATATTCTGCATTTGTACTTGTTTAGGAAAGTATGAGCTTAAAAGTAACTTTCTGCAGGGGGAAGATGAGGGCTAAATGTCTCCTGGCATAGTTGAGCTGAAATTTCTTTTTGAAAATGTGTATTTTTAGGTGTCACGATGCTACTAATGTAACCTGTTAGATTGTGTATAAAAGCATTCTACTTCTGATGTAACTGTGAGCTGCTGATGCATTCTTTCGTGCCCAAGGCACAGCATTCCTTAACTCCGTTATGCTAAAATTTGTTTTGCAGAAAGCTGTTCACATTTCTGTAGGTTTTTTGTGGGTTTGTTTTTTTTTTTATTCTGCTGGGTGACTTCAGTGAACAGCCTCAGTATGTATCCGTAAGGTTGCTTGGATCCACAGGGTGCAAGGACAGCATGAGTCCAGGTATATTCTCTCTGTAACAGAGAAACTGTTCTAGTTGCAAGAGAGAGCTTAGCAGCAACCCCATGGTATTTCGTATATTCTGAACATGCATACCAATTGTGTGTGTGTCTGTGGGTTGTGGGAAATGACGAGGAGTAAGCCACTTCTGGCAACCAGAACACCTCATCCAATCCACTGCTTGCTTCCTGTAAGTCCTTAAGAGGCTAGTAGTAGGCTGTAGAAGAGATCAATAGTCTCAACAAGACATTTTTGATCAGCAAACCACAGAGGAAAACACTGTACTGTGTGGTCTTTCCTTTCTACAACCTGCAAAGTTTTCACATAGTTTCTAAAAATAGCTTGATAGATGTTCAGATAAATAGCATGTAAAGAATATAGGCAGAGAATAGACCTTGCATCTCTCTGGGTTTTTCTTCTGTCCTTTTTTTTCCCCTGTGGGATACAGTTAGTTCATATACAGCTGTTCAGATCAGTTGGCAATGGAAGGAGAACAGTACTAGCCTGAGCTTGGTTTCCTTATTCCATTAGTGAATGGTAAAAAAAGAACTGAAGGAGTAAGCTTCAAGGTAATTGCAGCACCTTGTATTTTCTGGCTTTTCAGGTGCACAGTAAAAGCCTACTTTTTAAGTTTAAAATTTACTTATGTTAAAATTCAGTTTACTACAGATACTTGGGAAATGTCTTTTTGGAATACCTAGATGGCTGTTAGAATGAAGAATAAGGGTAGTGACATTGGCCCTCTCATTGTCTTCACAAGGACAACACTGAGGAGGTTGAAAATCACTGGTGATTACATGTAGAGTTTGCACTTGCAGTGGGGGGCAGGAGTGGAAGGAAACCTGGAGTTCAGGTTTTGACTAATACTGAAGGAAAAAGGGTATCTCAGAGCTTAACTCCTTTATTTGACTTCATGTCATTTCTAACATGAAAAATCACTTTAAAACATAGCATCAAGTAGCGAGTCTTTTCAGTACACTCAATTATTTACAGCTGCAGATACATTGTACATTTATATGTTAGATTCATGTAATTTATAAACTATGATTTATATGCTAGAAGTTTATAAACCAATGAAAGGCAGTGAAATTTTGAACGAGAGAAACTACTGAGAGTAAATCAGTAGTGTACTGGTAAGGAGAACAAGGGGCTGGGGACGGGGAAAGAAAGGATTGCAGTTTATTTGTGAAGAACTAAGTATGGAAAATTATGATGTGAATTGTTAGTTTTAGGAAAAATACTTTCTCAGTTTACAGCAGTGGGGACAACTTACATGAAGAGGCAAGAATTTAGCATATAGAAAATTAAATAATAGTAGTAGTATTAAGAAATAGAACCAACTCTGACTGTAGAGTGACTTCAGTTGATCATAATGTAAGATGTGAATAGTGCAGTAAGCTGATTCAGTGACTACCTGTTCAAAATTGCATCTGACTCTTCTCAGTTGATGAGAGCCTTTTTGACTGTACAAGGATTTTGTCATGGCTGATGACGTAATTGTGGCTGCCTGACTAAGGTTGAATGTTTCATAAATATTACTGGTATTACACATCAAATGTAAACAACTTAAGGATTGTAGGTGTTTGGTGGTTTGTTTTGAATAGCCTAAGGAAGTATCCTAAAGTGTTAGAGGTTTAAAGCCTACACAGTGTGATAGTTCTCCACAATCTCTTATCCTCCTTAGTTAGGGCTTTCTGTGTTCAGGGCAGATTCAGACTGACTGCTGGGGTTCTGAGATGTTCTCATTTATTTCAGACCAGGTATGCAAAACAGTGAAGAACATGACATTAATAAGTAGCACCAGTAGAAAACCTGCATTGAGGTCACAGGACATAATGTGGAAACTATACAGAAATAGCACCTGACTTTATACAGGAAAAGGTGCTTTAAGCAGAATTTTGCCATTCTCTCCCTGAGATTCTTGTCTCAAAGGTCTTCCTCTTATGCAACACGAGGAGGAATCCTGTGATCAGGTTACCCTCAGTAGGTAAAGCTGGCTCCTTTTCTTCCTGTTTTCTTCAACCTCTCAGTTCTGACTTTCTTCCTCTAGATGACTTCCGTTTAATCTCCTCGATTCCCCAGTTTCTCCTCCTCTTGCAGTTTGGCCAGGTTGCTTTGTTTCCTGTTCTGTCTGGGCTTCACTAGTGGAAAGGGATATAAGAGGAAGTAGGTGTCTCAGGGAAGTGGTAGTGGAAAGTTAGTTTTGAGTTTGTCTAGTTTGTTTTTCTCATCATGCTTTATATGCATGCTTTCCAGAAGTGCCAGTTGCAGGGAAAGGCCATTTCAGCCATTCAGCTCTGTAGGAAGCATGATTGTTTCTGAGGACACACAGGATCTGATAGGAGTAGGAATTGTTTGGAGGTGGAATGTGCGTAGGGAAGATGGGATCTTTGGTGAATTAAGCTGTCAGTGCTGTGCTTAACAGCTTTCTGCTGAATATGTGCAAATTAGAATCAGCCAAAAGTCACAGCTTGTCTGACTGGGTTGAGTTTTGATAGGGACAACAGTGTACTTTTTTGTTAGAGGAGCATTATTTTGCCAAATTCTAAGTTCTTTCCTCAAAATATGTAGATCCTAGATCATCCTAGTGGAACAGTTGTGTAAGCGCTTATTTATTTGGTTTTAAACTAAGCAGAATAGGTGCTTCCTTTGAAATGTAGGAAAATTATCTGAGGAATGATGGGACAATTTCATTTAGACTTACTTCATTTTCTCCCCTTTGCAGAGGGGAAGTGGGGAAGGGGAGGAAGAAACAGACTCATTTGCTTTGTGTGAATAATTAAAGTTTGGCAATATTGGATTCAGTCTTGAAAACTATCTTATGATTAGATAATGTAACTAGAGGCGTCCAATTTTTATATTAGCAGTATATTTTAATTTATTCTCTGCATGGAGGTCATGCTGGATTTTTAGAAACTGTTAGTTTTCAGTTATACTTGCTGTACTGTTTAAACAAAACAGTAATATACCTTTTATCTTTTTAGAATTACTGTATTGAATTAGGATTGAAGGACACTGTACTCACAGCTAAATTTTACAGTTAGGCTCCCTGCTGCAGTGTGTTAGGGACTCTTCCAGTATTGCATCATATGTATAGATGAATACTTCAGTGTGGGTATGTGTACATAGATGTGGACATATTACTTCGGTATAGAAAAACAGTATTTTCTTTGTGCTTGCAAGTATGTCTTATTCTTACATTGCTTAGTGAGAAGTTATAAGGAATCTTAAAGTATATGGAAAGATAAGATATATAACTGACAAATGTGATTAAAAAATTGTAATTGCATATTAATTTAAAAATGCTGTCATCTCTTTCAGATGTAATTATATTTTACAGCTCAGAAGCCTGAATATTTTTCTTGTGCCTTTATTTATTGCAGGAAACATGAAATAAAACTGAAGCACGATGAAATACGTAAGAAGTATGGTATGTGGTAATCTTGGGTTGATACTCAGTATCTAAATTGACTCCTTTTTCCTAATTATTAAAATTCACAGCAGAAACAAGCTGCTTCATGAGCAGCAGAAGTAATCAAGCAGTTTCCTACTGATGCATATCTTCTGTCACCTGAACACCTGATCTCACCACTATTATGCTCCTTTTCTCTTCCCACACTGACTCTCCCACTGGGAAGGAGACAACATGCTTGATGGGATGTTTGCTTGGGGTGGGCATTTAAATATATTAATTAAAATAAGTAGTTCTTTCTGTCTCTGCCTAAGTAAAAGTTCCAATTTGGGGTTTTATCTAGTTAAAACTGGCTAGTAGGTAGACTCATGGCTATTGAGGGAGGATAGAATGAGTAGCAGATAACAAGCTTTTTTAAATAAAGCTTAAAGAAGGATGGAGGTTGCAGCCTAACATAGGGATTAAAATTGTTTTTTCTTTGTTTTTAAGTGTAGCTGTTGTCTGGTGGGAGAAGAATATCACAAGACTGCAGGACCTGCTGTGTTGTATAGGATTTTTTATCTAGGCTTGTCAGTGCTTGCACTTTTCACTTGGTTTGTTCATAGGGTTAATAGTACTGTATATTCAGAGAACGATATGCTAAAACTATGCTGCACTTATTATGCAAATTGTGCTAATGTCAGAGAAGGTGATTCTAGGGGTCTGAACAGTCACTCAAAACTGTTACTTTTCAACCTCTTGTTAAACTGATTGGCAGAGTCTGGGACTGCCTTGATGTATCTGCAGCCTGCCCTTTGGCTGCTGCAGAAGTGATACAGACAATCTCTATAGGGAATTCTCTGCCTGGTGAACATTTGCAAAAGTATGTCCCTTTGCTGGAATGGAGAAAAACTTCACTGTGAAGGTTGAGCTACAGGAAGAAGAATGTTGTAGAAACTAGAAGTAAATATTGTTAAAAATCAGGCATGAACTTCAGTCCTATGTTATTTTATAGGATAATTGACCCGGTATCCCAATCACAATTCAGTTTCAAGAGGTTTGAGAGGTTGACAGCAATAGTCCAGATTTAAAAACCCACAAAGAACATCATAACAACACAAGCCTTTTGTGCATGTTTCTCCTTTGACTCTAAGGTTTCTTCTATATCAGCAAGTTTGAATCATTGGGCTAGATGTGAAGAACTGAAGACAATGGCTATATCTCCAAAATAACATGCAGCATTCTTTACATAACTTTGCATCTCCTTGAGGCAGTGCACCTAAGAGGAAGTGAACAGATCCTGAATGAAATGTAGCAGTGTATCAAAACACTGCACTGGGTTTAAGTGGCTGTGTTCAGTTATGTTCTGCTTGTGGAACTAGTTCAGTTGTCTCTGGATGGCCCTACATTTTGGTGAAGATAATTTTCAGTGCTTAATTTTCAGACCTTTGCAGAATGCTTTGTTGCATCTTTTTGGAATACTGACTTTCATGAGGAATTTCAATAGGAAACTTCTATATAAAATTAATTTATTGAAAGGTTTGCTTTATTGCATATGCAAAGATCAATTTATATTGTCAGATACATCTATTTGAGGCCTGGACTATTACAAATCGTTTTTGTCCTAAAGAGAAACCGAACTATTATGTGAATAGTTGGCACATCCTGAAAAAATGAAAGACAAAATATGTATAAATTCTGAAATCTATAAATGTTATTGCTGATGTATATAGTTTATATTCTGATAATGTGCAGACAAATGATTGTCAAAATAATTCAGTGAGATGTAGTATAGAGTAAGCCTTGCTATAGCCTTGGATCTTCAGTCTTCATTTTTCGCTGTCTAGTAAATACATATGTTACCATATTAAATATAATCTAATGAAATTTGCTGCAAATAATTATGGAGACACTAGATTATTTTACACTCTTGTGCACTGAAGAGAGGATTCTCAGTTAAGTAGGCATGGATGAGTGGCAGAAGGACAATGACTTTGTTAACCTGACTTAGTAGATTAAGATGATCATGCCTGAAATTTCACTATTTGGTTGGCTTTAAGGGAATGCCTTTTCCCATTTCATCCACCAGCCTTCTTTACTCCATTTAAATGGTAATTACACATTTATAATGCATTGCAGGTGTCACTCTAGCCACAGTCCTTTGGGAGCATTGGAAGCAATAGAGAGCTTTAGCAACCAGGGATACACACTTTGAATTGTTTCTTTGTTGCACAATTTGATAGTATTTTTCATTTGCTCTCATATATGAATGCAATATGATTACACAAATTACATGTTGACTGTTAGAAGAATTTAAAGTAGAATTCAGAGTACTTTGCAGCTTGTGGAGTATACAAAGGATCTACAATTTAATTGCTGCTGCATTTGCTGCTATTGTATGTTCAGTATAGCATTAGTGAGAAGCTGCTTTATTTTTATTTATTTCAGGATTGTGCCTGGTATTAGTGGAAAGATACTTTCTCTTAATTTTCACAAATTATTGCCTTTCATGATTTTGGGTTTCCACACCATTTGCTTCAGTTCTGCAAATGTTTTGATCAGCTAATTAATGATATGTAATCCTATCTCCTTTATTTTATGAGATGTTGATTTTTATATTCAATAGTTTGTCACAGTAAATGTTCCTTCTATTCAAGATAGATACCTTGTCATGACCTTCTTTAGCGTTCTGAATGCAAAGCAGGGAAACCTTGTATTGCTATGCACTGAAAGCTTTATAGTTTGTTAAGAATGAAGTTGTTAATCTGAGGATTAAAAATAGGAAAAGTATAATAAGGGGGGAAGATATGCAACAAACTGGGGGGGCTTCAGCATATACAGTTTTTTGTGTTTCATATATTCAATTTTTGGGCAGTGCTGGGCTGTGGTGAGAGATCTTGACTGAGAAGCTGCATAGTTAGCATAGTATATGATAATATGCTGGAAAGAGGTATTAATTTCTTAAAATTGCTTTATCATTTCACACATTAATAGGCCTCATCACTTCATACAGGCAAATGAAAGATGCTTGACTACTATACCTTCCAAATTTTTAAGTTTCTTAAATACTAATTAGGTCAAATATTAACCTCAAAAAGAAGGTGAATAGAAATAAAACGTTAGAAGTTCTTGTAAGTGCCCTGTGTGTCAATAATAAAGTTCAGCAGTAATACGTAATGGACTTGATTGCAAACAAGACTCTTGGAGCTACAAACATCTAGCTGCTCTGAACTCCTAAGTGTGAATTACAAGTTGGGTAGTTGGTCTCATGTCAAACTGGAAACAGCTGAGAGAGACAACTTGTGTCTGGTTCAAGGCAATGCATGAGGTTTAGTTGAAGCAGACATGCTATCCAATTAGCATAGGCTTGCAGCTTCTCTTTGAGTGTCACGGTTAAGAGCAGCTGTGGCAGCTGACAGGAGCTTTTCGTCATGCTCCTTTTTTTTATGTCTGTCTAGATTGTTTTTGTCCACTTACTGGAGCCTAATACAGCCTCTTTGGTAAGAATTAGTGCAAGAGATGAGCTCCTGTCTCTCTTCTCTTGCATAATGTAATCTTGTGAGGTACTTGGAATGCTAATAAAAGAAATTGAAACACTGGATGCATATTTGAGAGCAAAACTAAGAGCAAGGTCTGTCAGACATTGTTACTTCTGTGGCTATCTTTGTTTGCAAGGAGACTGTGCCTTTTCTTTTGGAGTACCTTCTTTCCTGGGAAATTAATTTTTTGAAGTCATGATCAGACTGGATTGACCCATAGTTCTTAAGTCCTGTTTAGTTCCAGTGTTACACAATAAAATGGATCAGAGAAATTGGAAGTAAACCATAGTAATGTCTCACTGGTGATAATTATATCTATCTATCCTAAACATAATTCATTAAAATTAAAGCAAGTATGACTGGGAATGACATTTGCAATAATGAGTAAAAATGACACATTCATTTGAAATATGAGGACTAGTTATCTGAGTTTTGGCTGAATATTTTGGGGAAGAGGTGGCATAGGAAAAGTTTATCAGGAGTCTTACACCATCCTCTGATTAATTTGAAATTGGCACTACTGGGTGTAGACCATTGTTTCTATTTGATTTCAGCTGTTTAAGCTGTAAGAGGAGGGTGTCTACTGTTTCACTGTGCTAGTTTCAGAGCTATGAAGTGTCAGGTATGTATTTTGAATGAATATAATAACGACATAATGAGCACTTGCCAGACTATAGGGAGAGAAGTCTGCAACCTAAGTTAATTTTGGCAGGGAACCTGGTACATCTTGTTACTTTGGGGAATTTTTTTTAGTTTGGTGCCTTCATTTCTAGTTTCACTTAGAAATGTGCAGGGAGTTTTTGCAATGTCAGTTGTAGTAAAAATGCATTAATTTCTAATACTGTTACTGAGTTCTGTAAATGCATAGATGTGTTTTGTATTTGGGAGGGGTGAAATACAGAAGTACTGCAAGAATTTTTGAAAGTTGGGCTATTCACTTGTCTTTCAGGTAACTAACTATATTAGGATCCATAGATCCTAGCTGCCAAAGTATTAACATGTCTGGAGGAAGGAGGGGGTAGTGGTCTGGAAATAAAGCAGATGTTTCTTCTCTGTATTTGGATTGGGGTTATATTAATGTAGGAATGTTACCTGAAGGCACTAAAGGTTGAATGTATGCTGAGCATAAGGGCTTTTTTTGTGTGTGTTAGCTTATCTGTCAGTTAAAGTAGATTTAACAGGCATTAAACTCTTTGTTTAAATACATGAAAGGTAAAATTAAAACTTGAGAAGTAACAGCTTTCTGAGATTTTAAAATATAAAAATCTCAAGATCTCAAAATATTGCAGGCGATTTTTGACAGTGTTGTCATCTAACCATATTCTTATTGCTCAAATGCTTTCAAGATTTTAATTTTGTTTTAAAGCAGTTACAAAAAGGGGTAGCACCTTTGATGCAAGGTACTATGCCACAGTACTAAATAGACTGTATTTAATGTTCCCTGGTTGAAGCTTTATAAATGTGACTGGCTTACCCCTTCTTTGAAAATAAGGGCCATTACATATGAGGCCTGGTTTTTATTTTAACTTTTTAGAAATTGACTGCTTCTAATCTTGTGAATTTGAGTATTTGTACTCAAATTGAATATTACAGGATTTTTCGTAATTATTCCTTAATATTTGTCGTTCCCTGTCAGGTAGCTAGTTGCAGTTACTGATACAACAATCAGCAATAAGCAGTTGTGCTTCTTGATTGATATCCTTAAAATCCCCTGGCAGTTCAAAAGTTTAACAGGGTAGGCACAGGTATAGTCTTTCAGTGCCATTAGCTTTTGACTTTCAGATAAACTGTGAATGTTCAATATCTGTGTGCAGATCCATGTGGAAAAGAGGTATGGTGTGAAAAGGTCTGAGGGGAGTTCTTACAAGATTTGGCAGTGACTAGTGTAATCTTTCTCTTCCACTGTTGTGAATCTGAACATTTGTGTTTTGGGGTTGTTTGGCTTAGCTGTCTTCTGTCTCTGTGTTCTAAACAAATGAGCTAGAGAACAGTCCAACCATCACTGTAAAGATCATGGTAGAAAAGATAGTGGTAGTGTTTGTGTTCTTTCACAACAAAAGATTGGCCTCTGTGCTCTTATGGGACTCCCTTATTTTCAGTATGCACTTGTGCCTAGCCCAGATGTGGTTTAAAGTCTCTTTAAAATAATTGCTGTATGGAAGAGTGATTACTTAACTAGCCCTTACAGGAGATGCTATGCATTATCAGACACTCAGCATAATTGGATGGCTTTGTGATGCTTTCTGTAACAGTATTCTGGTGAAGTCATTAAGAATCTTCACGATGGAAACATACTGCAGCTTGGATTAAGTGATGCTCTTATTCTTGTCCCCAGAGGTTTCAGTGCATGTAGAAGTGGTCTTCATTTGTTCTTAAAGATTATTGTCCTGTTTCAGAAATGCTGTAGGTGGCTAAACATGACAGATGTCTGTGTATAATCAAGGTACAACTAAGTCAGAGTAGCAGCATCCTGTATTTTAAAAGGATCATGATCTTACAGTCACTTGAATGTATAAATTGGCCAGTCTGAATCTGTTCTTTCTGAGCCATCTTTATGCTTAGATTTTTGTAGACTTGACTCTCACAAATGCATTTTGCAGGGTATACCTCACAAATGAGAAATGTTTTTTCAAGAATTTTTCATAGAGAAATGTTGTCTCCCTGCTAAATCATGAAAGACCGATCAGTTATTATAGGCTGAGAAATGAGAGTGCTTAAGAGCAATTTATTATTATACTTGAGTGTTTGTGTAATAGAGCGATTATTACAAGACAAGAATTGCTTTTTGGTTTTGTTATATGGAGTACCTATTACAGTGAAGTCAGTAAGTCAAGGTTTTTATGTAATACTGGTAAGAAAATGATTAATGCAGTCTTGTTTTGTATTACAGGTCTTCTCCAGGATTCTGATAATCCATACAGCAGATTTGAGAATGAATAAAGCTGAGCACCTTCCACTAGAGCTGTACCTTGAGAATGCAGAAAGATAATTTGTTTTCTTTTGCCCTTTGGGCTTTCTTTTGCTTCTTTTTTCCCCCAAAAAAAGTCATTTGATTTTCATTTTTTTTGTTTTGCTTTGGGTTTGTTTCCTGGTTGTAAAACCAGGATTGGATAAAGATTTCATGAAATACATGTTTCTGTCTTTTGCCTATGTAGAACTAATTTTTTTATAAATGCTTTGGTTTTTGAAATGCTGGCTGATTTATTTTTTTTTTCCTTTATGGTGACTTTTTTTCCTTTAAGTGTGAAATGCTATTTTTCCTCCTCTTAAAACTGTATTTTATTACTTGATGTATGTAGCTGATAGGCACAATCACGCGTTTGCATTCAGTCTTAACTGCCACTTAAAACACTTGTTGCCATGTTCCTAATAAAGATATTTCCCTACTGTAGCTTTTATTTTTATGAAAAAAAGCAATATGGAAGCACAGCTTCACACAGCAGAAATAGCTGTTGTTGATATTGATGAGAAAATAAACCAGGCACATTCTTCTGTGATACCATAATGTGAGAATAGGGTGGAGGTTTTTTTCCCCTCTGGAAAAAGATCTTCAAGAGTGTAACGTCTAAGGGTTGAGAGAGGGAAGCATGTTTGTCTCTGAAATTTTCAAATTCAGTTGTAGAAATACTAATACATGATGATGTGAAAAAGAAATTGCTGTAGTTAGCAAAATTGGAAGAAGGTCACTCTTGATATAAGCATAGTTATATGTGCCTAAATTCAAGCAGAAGCATCAGTCTTTGTGAACACTTTCTTCTGTAAGCTTAATATATAATTAACCAAAAAAATGTTGCCAGATTCTGCATTTAACCAGGGTTAACCCTGGCCACCCTGGCTGAGCACCACCCAGCAGCTTGCTCCCTTCCTCCACTGGGATGAGGGAGAGAATGGGAACAGGGAAGGCGAGAAAACTCTTGGACTTGAGATAGAGAGTTTAATAAGGGAAGAAAAGGACAGGAGGAACAAGGCAGTCACCACCTCTCAGAAGTAGACCTCTGCCTCCCCTTCCATCAATTTTTGTTGCTGAGCATGATGATCTGTTGCCTTGAATATCTCTTTGGTCAGTTCTGACTGTTTGTCCCAGCTGTGTCCCCTCCCAGCTCATTGCCTGCTTGCTGGAGTGGGCAGAGTAGGAAAAATGAAACCTCGATGCTGTGCAAGCACTGCTCAGCAAAAGCCAAAGTCTTGGTGTGTTATCTGCACTATTCTAGCCACAGATCCAAAGCAAAGCAGCGTACAGGCTGCTATGCAAAAAGTTACCTCCATCCCACCCAGACCCAATATAGTAGGAAAGCAGTATTTTTGTAACCTTTCATTTTTTTTGATATTTCCATAATGTGATTTATTTCCTGTCTTTCTTTTCATAGAGATGGTTAATTGAGCCATCTTTGTAGCTTACCAATATGACACAATAAGCAAGGAGCTTTTCTCCATCTTCAGTGCAAGTTTCCATTTATTCTGTACTCTTTAAATAACCTTCTTTCACGTATATTATCTATTGAAAAAACGTACAATATTGAAGATGTTCATGTTATTTTTATCAGCATTCCTAAAATAAATATTTAACATGTTAATTTGCTTCTGTTCAGTTCTGTTTTTCCATACAATTTTAAATTAACTTGGTTAAAAGTGATCAAATATGAGTTTGGGGGAAGGAAAAGTATTCACTTTTGGTGTTTTTTTTCTGACAGAAGAATAAGATCTTAACAGCACAAAGGTATGATGGGAATTAAATTTTGTCTGTGGGTGCTGAGGTGAGCTGCTGTTCCTTTCCAATGCCAATGAACCTGCCACCACTTTGGCTTCAATAACTATGGCTTTTCACTGCTTTTGGCGCAGTGTTTGCTTCCATTCTTTTACTGCTTTAAAAATTCTGTAAACAGTTTGTCAGGATTTAACATTAAAATGGTTCCCAGTTCCTGGATCTGTATTGTAATTAGTGGAATAATGGTCCAGTTTTCTTTTTTGTCTTTTTATTTCTCAACTCATATTTAGCACTTTATTAGTAGGCACTGTGTTTAATTTCTTATGTTTCTTCATCTGCCAGCTATTGTCAAGACTGAAGTATTATTCAAATGGATGTCTTTGAAGAATGATGTTCTGTGATAAGAGTTGATAGTGTGGAAATAAAACATGCTGATGGTTTTCCCTAGAGGTAACTTTTGCAAAAATGATGAAGGTCTGCCTGCTGTCTCACAACCCGAGTAGTGACATTCCTGACTTAATAGAAAAGCATTTTTCTTCAGCACCTGCTACGGTATATGAAGAGCTGTCACATATTCAGACAAAAGGGGGGGAGCGACAACCTTTCTTACGGTTTCAAAGGTAGTAAAATACTTGGAGAACCAGATTATTTTGAGACTATGAATGGGTGCAGCATTGCTGGAGAACAGTTCTGTTAGGTTTAAGGAAGGTTGAGTGAAATCCATGCATTTTATCCACTGTGTTAGCTTGTCTTTCCAGAAGCCGTGGTGGCAGGTAACAAAAGATACCTGCAATTATGGTCAAATTTATCTTAACCAGACCTTCCATATACTAAGCTTTTAACTTTATAGTGTAGGCTATAATTTATACCAAATGCCAAGTTGGATGTCTATTACAGTATAATTTTGCTTACACAGTTAAAACCTTAATTTAATGACACTGTTGTGGACAGCAGCCTTAAAGCTTAATAGAAAATACAAAAATCCCCAAACAGTCCCCAGACTTTTCAGGTTATTTAACCTTTTTTTTTTTTTCTGTGTTCATTGAAGCAGTTAATTGGATTGAAAATATCCTTATTTCAGTATATTAATTGCAGCCTTCTCTGCTTTCCTGCACATCAGTCTGTCTGTCTTTTACAGAAACACAGAATTTGGCTTATCAGTAGAAAGATTCCTAGTCTGCATTGGCAGAACAGCTGCGGGGAGAAGTAGCATCATACCTTTGGTTCTCAAGTGTGTGAACATTTATCCATTTCAGTATGAGCTTGCCTTCTTCCATGCTTTGTCAACAAAAGAGAGAAAAGGGATGCAGCATATAAACAAAATGAAAGAATGGGAATACAGCACAACCTGAGCCTGAGATACATAATGCCTCTGTTAGTCTGTTTTTCTCAGACTTGACTTTCATGCACACTCTATTCCCTCTTTCGTCTGTCTTTACACTTTTTATTTTAGTGGGTTTTGCTTGTTAATTTTAGTGGTGAAGACACTACTCTGTAAAGAAGAGCAATCTCAGAAATTAAAACATTAAATGTGCGTTTATTTTTTCACAGAAGAGCACTTCCAGTACTGAAAACTCAGGTGAGCTTTAAAAGTAATGTTGCTGGCTGTAATTTACTTATGTAAAGAAAATTTTAGTAGGGTGGAGTGAGCTGTTTGAACTTACCTTAATGAAGGAACACGCTTTTTGCCACTTCTGAAATCATGGATTACTGTTTGCACTATGTCTTGCTTGTTATTTGAAGTAGAGATATCTTTGTTTCAGGCTTCCATACATAGTTTCAACATCTGTCTTTTAAAAAAAAAAATCAGTGTGTCAAACTGCAGTTTCTTATTACACCATGTATGTGCCTGAGGAGTGGCTCTGAGCTGCACGCTAGTGTCTTGCAACCCTAGGATGCCCCCAGCTGAGGTGCTGAACATGCAGTTCTCTGGATTTTCAGTTGGTGCAGGAAGAAGTTGGAGAGAATCAATTAGTGTGCTCTTCTTCCCCTCATTCTTCTGTGTGTTCATGGCCAAAGAGGATCAGAATGAAGAGGAAAGAAGACACTTTGAGAGGAAATGATGGGGAGATGGTTGGGGCAAGGAGTGGGGAAGCCACTAGTCTGGGGTGATAGTGAAGTTGGCAACACTTGCACATCAATTCCTGTCTGTCTGTAGGCTTGATCTCCTTTGGTTTTGGGGCTCTAATTAGCAGCCACCATTCAAAGTGTGAACTGGGGTGGTTATGTGGAGGGAGGCATTTCAAGGTTCACATACGCTCTTATCTTTCCTAAGAGCAAGGCCAAGACTGCTGTTGACTTATTTATCCATACTGTTGGCCTGGTCCTAGGACAGACACTTGGTGGACAGAGAGGAAGGAATGCTTGTCAAAGTAAGTAGTGTCTCATTTTGTGACTGAAGTATCATTATGTCCAAAATACTCCTAAAGCTGGGTTTCTGTTTGGTGACACTTGCCAGAATCCTCTGGGACCATTCCCCAAATGCTGATTCACCCAAAACTTAAAAGAAAGGGTCATGTTTCTGATACCTTCAAACAAAATCCAAAATGTATACATCCATCATTTATTTTAATGGCTTCACATGGGTTATACTCAATCTCTGGCTGAGCAAACGCATTTAGTCTTTGTTGCGGCATCGTTAAGGCTTTGGACTTCGTGTGAGAGGATCAAATGTTTAAATGTTTAGAAGTGTGTGTTGGCTCTCAAGCCCAGAGCTCTATTTTGTTAACTCCATGTCATTTTCATGTCTAGGTCATCTTGTTAGGTATCTCTGGTTATGAGTGAGTTCAAGTGCATTTATCCTCAACACACTTCAGTTATCAAAAAACCCCAACAATCTCTGCTCTCTTTTCTGATGCTATTTTACTATGGGAGAAGTTGTAAAGGGAATAGTGATCAAAAAAAAAAAAAAAAAGGAAAATGGTAAAAAAAAAAAGTTTTCTTTTGCATATTTTTGAGATTTGCTTTTTTTTTTTTTTTTGTTACCTCCTGTCATCTTAAATAGAATTTAAAATACACAGCTGCTCTATATTGCTATATCAAACTTTCCTACGGTGATTCACTCGCTTTATCAGTAACCGGGCTTACTGCTTATAGGAAAACTGAAAATCATGAACTTTCCTGATCTGTCTTGCCCAGTTCACAATAAAACTAGTAGTGTCTTACATGTGCTTCCACAAAGCAGGAATGGCAGAAGGTAAGTCTAGACAAAGAGAAAACTGCCAGTGGGTTTCAGCAGCTGAACAAGTTTATCAGTCTTTTGACTGAATGTCTCAACCATCAGTATATATTATTAATCAAATGGAGCTACTTTTCTCTTGCTGATACAGCAATTGCTTCTAAACAAGAAAAAGTAATAGAGGGCAGAGTTTCTGAGCCGTCACTTTGAGTCAAGTGCTTGCATGGCAGATAAATAGGTAATAGAGTAAGCAAAGTCACTTTGAGAACCATGTAAGCTTGAATCTGTTTGTGTATTAACATGATGAAGTAAGATGCAGGATGAAGATAAAGTTATTTGCAGTCAGTCCAGAGATGTGCGGGTTTTTTCCTGTATTTTTAACTTTGACCTTCAGTCCAATCTGTGCAAGGATCTGTCGGGTAGCAGCACAGCAAAAAGGATTAGGAAATGTTTAATTACCCCAATTTGGGGTAGATTTTCATGGTACTGTTTCTGTCACAGTTCTGAGCTGATTCCATCTGCAACCTGCATCTCAAGGGCAACCTTTCATGTACCCATGCTTGTCACCTGGCTTGAAATAGAATCAGGCACTTGGTGTTCTCTGACCAGCCCTAGTTACTTATTTCCTGTGCATCAATTCCGGAATCACACGCACATACCACTCTTGCCCTCAAGGGGAGAGTCCTTCAAGCTTGCATTACTTTTCACAACTTCTTTTTCCTTCATATGAACTTGGTGCTTCTAATAACCAGATGACCTCTTAAGTCCTTGGCCCCGGCAAAACAGGGTTTGCAACTTTTCAAGGTGGTAATCTCCAAGGTGACAATTTTGCCTCTTGTATTGCAGAAGTACCGAAGTGTTCTTTAATGCTGCAGTCTTCTTCCTGTATGCTCTTGAAGTTCCACCAATCTAGATCACTACACAGTGAATTCCCTGAAATCATATGGTGCCAAAAAACTCCTTACAGAATACTGAGTGTCAGGAAGGGGATAATGCGCTGTCAGTTTGTTGCTATGTGAAAGTTTTTGCTTTATGAGGAGATCCTGAAGTGCTGGAGATCCCCAGACTTGATGGAAAGAGACTGAGGAAAGAGATAAATGAAGTTTACAAAAATCAAGCCAGGGGGTAAGACAAGCACAGAATTGTAATCCCACATTACCAGAACTAGGGAACAGTGAAGCTAGTAGGAGATTGGTTTAAAACAAAGTCCTCCTGGAGCTAACTACTGTGGGGCTATAGAGACAGACAATACCAGAAGGTTCAAAATGAATTGTGCAAACTCCTTGGCAGCTAGTTGTCTTTAGTGAAAAAGCCACTGAAAGAACTTTGTGGACTATGATATTGTTAATGAAATCATGGATCAGACACAGTACAAGAGGAGAGGACTGCAGAGTTTGCATTTTGTTCCTACAAAGCAAGTCCTTTTGCCACTGAATTAATTTTCTTTAGAAGCACTGGGTATCTCATTTTAAAAAGCATATTTTGTGGCAGAGCTGACAATGTTGCAACAGACTAGTGAAGTGCTTCGATGCTTTATTTGAACAGCACATGGCCAGAGCCAGGACGAACACTCAAAAATGAGCCTGAGCTCATTTTTGGGATGTGGGCTGCTGGTACAGTCGTGCGGCTTTCATTGCAGTTATAAAGCAAGAGGAAGCTCATAGGCGTCTGCATAGCACCATTTGTCACGGTTGCATTTCTGGTCAAGCTGGTGAGAAGAAAGCTCACTCGTGCCTCCATTTCTAGTATTTTCAAGGCTGCTTCCCATTCTTGTTATCTGAAGCCACTTGTCTAACAGTTACATTGTGCAGAAAACCAGAGATAATCTTGGCCTTCACATGTCAGAATAACACTGACTGGCTAAAAGCTCTTCCGAGAGCAGAAGTCGGTGCCTAGGATCAGGGAGTATTCTGCAAACATAGAAGACCATAATCTGCTGTAACTGCATCATCTTTTCCTGTTTGTCACTTATTCTATCTACATATTTGCTTTCTTGCTTAAGAGACTGAAGTCCTTCCTGCTTCTGCAGGAGCGTCCTATTTCACCTCACATTTATTCTGGAAGTCTGACTGACATCTGGAGAAATCTCCTGTCATGATGTACTGTGACATTTTCACATCTTTCACTTTCTAAGACCAGAGTAATTCTTTCAGTTGTGCTGAGTTTGAATTTTCTAACACGTATGTTCAAGAATTTATTCTCTGTTTATACATATACCACTAATTTCTGCAAGCTCTGGTCTTCCATCTCTTCTGCTTTTCCATGGCGTTTC